TTTTTTTTTAAATTGTGTATTCATATATACTGAACTGCATTGTGCCTCTCATGTCTATGGAAATCCTGTAAAACACACAGAGGACAAATCATTTTACCTCTAAGCTAAGATTTTTTCGAGGAGGGAAAAAACAACCTCAGTAGCCAATCTGTTGTTTAGCTATTTGCATCAAATCTGGCTAGTCAGGACGGAGTGCCTCTTTTATGCTATGAGGAATTTATTGTTTGGTGCTCTACTTTTTCAGATTAAATTCAAAATTGTTTTAAAAGAATATAATTCTAACCCAAAAATGTGTGTCGCAGCTTATTTCACGGCTTCCGTACCTTTCCTCCTGCATTATTCACCGCTGTTTAAATTAGAGCTCGCACGAGAAGGTTTTCAGATGAAATCGCTCACATTTTATCTTCAGGGTACAGTGAAAAATTGGAGAATCTCCAACCAGTGACATCCTCTGGTGAAGAATTATTACTGCAGTCATAACACGGGAGAGGAAAAATAAATGAACGCTTCCAAAAATAGCTCTCACCTTGTGACTAATATTGAACCACATTCGCACACACTTTGTTGTGTATCAGCAGCATTTGCGGTGCACTTTACTGCATGTGTGAAGCATGTATAAGCGAGGAAATGAGCAAATCACATTTTTTCGGCCACTCTTCTCTGGGTCGGGGGAGAAGGTCTGTTCTAATTCTGGCCAATCACAGAGACACATCAGGGTTTTTTCCCCCCCGTCTCCTGCTCAGTCACCAGGCTTGTCAGGCCCATTTGTTAGAATAATTATATGGCTGTTAACAGCAACCTTGCCTAAAATAAAACGAGTGCTGCATTGGTTCAAAGACACCACATAAAATGGCTGCTAAAGATTTTACCAGAAGATTTATTGCATTCACACATTGTTAGCGTGAACACAGGTGCTTTTTGGGGTAAATTCCCGCTAAGATTACAATCAGAGGAGGCCCGTGGGTTGTTTTTAATAGAAGTGTGCTCTGGAGTATCTCTGTACTCCCTCTCTCTGTTCAGAGTGAGCTGTGCTCCTCTGGTTTATTTTGAGGTGGTCTTATCACAGCTGTTGTAGCTGGTGGCAGCCTGTCCAAGCCCCTCGACACTCTTCCTTTTCTCCCTCTGGCCCTTGGTCCTGGTAAGACCCTGTTTGCTCCTTGCCCTGCTTCTTCAGGGATATTTAGGGTTTAATAGTTTAAACGATTAACTCTTGTGCTTGGGATGTGTTTCAAAACGTCTTCTTTAACGTACTAATGAGTGCCTCTCTGAATTTGATGGATGCAATCTTTGCCAAGTTTGTTAGAGGCGAGAAGCTCTTGACGGCAGTGAGGCTAGTCTAGTCTGTGAATGCATTTAGTAATATTTATGTTGAAGTAATGGCTCACTAAAGCCACAGTGTTACATACACTGTGTTAAAGGTAACTTTAACCTCCTAGAAATATACTGCGTGCCGACGGGGTTGCTTATGTAACATCTGTGTTTTTATTGAATATTAATTGTTGAAAAAGACGACTTTACTGCGCACAACCACTGACATCAATAAGAGTGGATAAGAAATAAATAAATAACGTGCCCATATTAAGAAGTTCTTAAAATAGCCTGTGGATCTGGAACAGGTGCCATGTGCTCAGCTTGTGAAAGCACAGGCAGCGTGAAGGCTGCACTAATTTTTATGCACATAAACAGGCTCTGGCTGCAAGCCCGTACAACGCAAGACAAATGCAAGGACTCGATAGGGGATTAAATTTATTATTCACTAATGAGCTTTGGTATTACTTTAAGTGATTATTGTTTTTGTTGTGAAAATTGCAGATTTTCCAATGTCTGCCTGTCTTAACAGTAAATATAAGATGGTCTCAAAACCAAGAAAAACTTGGGCCACCATTCATTTCTTTGTTTTGCAAAAAATGGAAAAAATGAGTGCGTTGATTTACTGAAACGTGTCAAGATACACGGAAACAAAGAATTAAAAACATTTATTCTTCGGCAGGAGTCTGAACTCTTAGTTTCTTTAACTACTCCTCTGGAATTGTTCTCCATCCTCATTGAAAGATGCAAATGCATCAAATGAAGGTCTACATACATCTCTCAGGTCCTGTGTCAGGTCTTTGCTGGACGTTTTCCTATTTCTAAGAAAATGACTCTCCTGGAGATATTTTTGTGGGCCTAGCACTTCTTTTGTCCTCCACCTGTCCAGTTTACTCAGAATTTTAAGTAAAAACTACTCGGCATGCTGAGATATGTTTTCAGCTAACAGCTCTTTGTCAATAACCTTATTGGTGTAAAGCTTATTGTCAAATTACTGTGTTATCTTTGGCTTTTTAAAAAAAATAGATTCGACGTAAGAAATGAGAACAAATTCTGTGTTTTTGTGACAGGGTGCTAGTAACAAAGGGCCTAAAGATACAAATTAAAATCGATCTGTGCAAAGTTGGTTATTACAGTATATGTAAACACATTTGTTCACCCCTTGAGTCTTTCTTATACTTAAATGATTCTTGGGTCAGTTTTAAGTTGCTTAACAAACAACCCAATGAACGAAAAAGCAGCCAATGTCCAAAGAACTTGATGGTAGTGTTGAAGTTTGAGTCTATTTTTCTGCCGAGCCTTTACAGCAGGGTTACAGAGTTTTTACAGTCTTTTACCAAAGAATTATGTGTGTCTATTTACAAAAAATAATAATATCTGTTGATGTGTTGGGTCAGCCAATTCACTGAAAGACATTTACTTACTGTCTCTGTATGAAAATCAGGTGTGATTATTTATCTTACTTCTCCTTTTCTTAATGGTTAACCATAACGCTGTGTTGCTGTACTGGAGAACATGAATGAAAAAGTCATTTATGACATCATTGTAAAGACCTGTGCTTTTTCTACTATGACAAAACGTTCTGCAGAGATGAAGGTCTGTGCTGGAAATTCTCAAATCTGATTTGAGTTAATCAGATTTCTGATTGATTAATCAGTAAAATTAAGCTTCAAATAGCAAAGCTGGAATAACTAGGACCAAAATGGATACTCAGCATGACTTTGGTTTTCTTCATGTTTACTACTTCACTAAACAGGAAAACATGAGTCTATCCTAAGCCTAATCTTTAGCCTCTTACACATGTACGGATTCCATTACAGAACCAACCATCTCCCTTTTGGAACTACCTCAGAAAAATGGAGGCTTGTCAGGAGAGTAAACGCTCACCCACGAGTCCTGAAGCATCGCCAGCTGAGGATCACCACATTGA